GGGGGGGGGGGGGGGGGGTCAGGGTCGGGGGTGAGGTTTGAGGACGGGCGGAATGCTTTTCGGAACGCTTTTTGAGTGGGTTTATACTGGAGGGGAGCCATTTCTCCATCCGAAAAAGCATTCCAAAAAGCGCTCCGGGACCACCCCCCAACATAAAAGCGTTACGAAAAGCATTCCGGTACCACCCGGTGCTGCCGCCAGGTCAGAAAGGAGTTTGGGCGGAAGAGCGTCCTTGGACAACTCTGCCGGAGTTGCAGTGGTGTGGGCTGCCGCCAATCCCACCTGTGAAGACCATTCTAGATGCTGTGGTTTGCTGCTCCTTGACCCCTGAAGGCTTGTGCAACTTAGTCATGTCTTCTTACAGATCATACACCTAATGAAGTATTTGGAGGGTGCTATCCCAACATTCCCAACCATATATCCCAACCATATGTTTCAGTGCGAAGGCCGCTTGTGAGCTGCATTAAACCAGGAGGCAGCTTTTGGAATGCTTTCCACGGGCGCTTGGGAACACTGATCAGCTGAAACAGGAATTCAGCATGCTTTGCCCCAAGCTTTTCTGGAATGCTGCCAGAATGCTTTCGGGAACACAATTTAATTCTTCTTGGTGTTCCTTGTCTTTGGCCATCACGATCTTGTAACTCTAGTACAGTAACATGCCCCCTTCCGGCATATATGCCTTGAAACAACCTGCAATTCCTATCCAACAGATCTTGTGGGTAGTACATGTCAATTGAGTGTTCGGCTGTTGCCCCCAATGCGTATGCGTGGAAGTTGTAGGCGCAGTTGTCAGCACCACTTCCTGCAAGCAAAACATTTAGCAGCTTTCCGTAAAGATGCAACGGATGCGTCGCCAGGCTAGGCAAATTCGCTGTGACGAACTTCGCTCGACCCTTGCCTAAGTTCTACGACTGCATTGCGCCCACCCGGAGGAGCAGGGTGATTCTTTGGGGTACGTTGTTGCAGGACCTACGAAATCAATCGCACGGTGCTGCGGACGATAGCGTAATCGATCTAGAAGCTAGATTCTGCGATGCAAGTGGCGAGACTGTCCTACCACGATCACAGGCAAACTCATCAACATCCACTTGCTGTTGCATTTGTCGTGAGGCCATCTCTCCAAGCCGCCTCACTTACGTACGAGTCAAAGAAATCCGTCAAGAGTTCCCAACCCCAACAAGACTCATGCCACTTTCTCGGTGTAAAAGAAGCCAAGCTCTGCTCGAGCGTACTTCTAGAGAGTGTGCCCTGCTTCCCTGCTTCATGATCGGGACAAGAAGTGACAGGACGCAAGCAGATGGAGCAACTGACAAGAAGTGCAGAATCTGACACAGAACTCCAACAGGCTACACCAGAAGCGCTGCACTCGCTGCGGTTCTCGGCAAAACACTTTCGGAAACAACATCACCCTACCAAGTGCTGGGCCGTGATACTAATTATGGCACAATGACCGGAAGCAACATGCCAGGGCCAGGGAACACAGAACATGCACTGGCTCAACAATCCAACGAAACTATTCTAGACTAATATGCGAAGGAGGCAAAGAGGATGGCGCACACAACTGACTGTGCAGAGAATCGGGCCTGCTTCACCGGGTTCTGTGGCGAACCACGGAAAGCAACATCGAAGTACCTGAATGAGCTTGAGTGGGACTTGGGTAGCCTAACAGCAGCGAGAACTGTAAGAAAGTGATAGATAGAACATGCAAAGCTGCCCAAGCGCACCCAGCGAAACCGTCGAGGTGTCCATCTTTGGAAACCCTGAGCATGTCCGAAATCCATCTGAATAGAATAGCTGCTATGCGATTCCATGCGATATCAGAGTAGCCCAGCGCCTCATTGTGCACGATAGTGGTCTAGCGGCCTCTGGGGAGCTTCATGGCGCTTCGTGACCGAGCAGCAAGACCCGCCTTCAAATCCTCCACGGTGATTTTCAGCAAATCCATTTCAAGCACAGGACTTGCGGTTCCCGCCAACTGCTTCGGCCTCAGCAAGCATCCTTGACTTCACGCTCGATCAGAACCGAACGATGATTGACACATATTTGCACACCTGGCACCTGAACCTGGAAACCAAACGAGCTACTCGGTTGCTCGAAAAGTGAGCTGTGCATCTCTGGAAGCCTGAACGCAAATATCCATTGATTGAAGTTTGGATTGACCATACTGACAACATTGCACATGTCATGTCCAAGTCGGCAGCTGTCGCTTTTTTTCCAAAACTCACGCGCACTGGGGCAGAGACGAAAACTTCTCTGGATCCTCTTTCCCATCACTCTGTTGCATCGAAACCAGGCAGTATACTAGAGTTCGACTGTTGGCAGTACCAGCGTGTCTTCCATTCCTCGGTGATAGTCTGAGAGAACTCGGGTCCCTGCGAAAGGTTGACAAACATGCCAGTCTGTAAATAATACCTGATCCAGCCAGTGTCAGAATGCCTCCCTTCTGCACAAGTGAGACGACGCCCCACAGCTTCTCGACACACTTAACTTAAAGCAAGTAGCATGCGTTGCTCTGCAAGGAACTCTTCACGCATGCAGGAAAAGTCTGTACTGTACCACTGAACCATCGAGCCGTTGAAGTCCTCGAAGTGCCTCGGGAAGATGGCAAAAGTGCCGATGCGCACAAGTTCCTAGCCTAGCCAGAGATGACAAGTTCACAAGAACCCTCCAGGTCACGATGTGCCCCTTGAGCTTTGAGGCAGTGGCTGCCGCTCCCCATCAAAGGTTTGCTGCTTCTCACGGCACGCTTTGAACGGACCGACCGGTGCCAGGAAAAGCGTGGCATGCGAGGGGAAGAGGGCGCCACCTCTGCATGCCAGTATCAAGGGTTTGCGGACGTGAGCCCTTCCACAGTAATTCTCGGTTTTTGTATTTAGCTGGTCGAAGCGTGTTCCGCCTGGCTTGAGGAAGCGGTCGCGGGCGACCAAGACGCCTGCTCATCAGTTCAGCAATGCGCCGCAGCCCGCGTCGATTCAGAGCCAGCCGAGCAATGCCAGGGCCATCTCATTTTGGCCGAGGTGCTGTCCAGCATACTCTCTCTCAGCAAAAAATAACCCATCCATTCCTGGTTCGGGCACGTCCACGATTATGATTCACATGGCACAGCTTCTGTAGGTGCAGCTGGGCATCGCTAATAATGACGTCTACCATGCATGGCAGCGTCGCTGTTTCCTGATCATGCCACTCCATTCGCTGTGAACAGTATGGACCGTTGGATATATTGCAATCAAACATGGCAACTCTCTGTTAAAGAGACGCCAGGGCTCGATAGTCCCCTGGACAACATGAATGATATGGCTCAAACCTGGTCCAGAAAACAAGGAGCATCTCGGCAGCATCTTGGGACTTTGAAGGCCTTGTGCTTCCACAATTTTGCGACTTCGGACAGCCATGTCAGTGGCCTTTCTGTGCACCACGCTGACGGCATTCAGGTTGCATCCTAAACGATCGAAACCAGCCTCCACAGCGAAGACTTGCTTGGCCCCTGCTTTCGCTGCGAAGATTGACCTGGAGGTGATGGAAAGCATGATTGAACGCGGTCAAAGCAATGCAAAAGAGCTCTCCACTTAGCAGGCTGCAGTATGCAAGTTCCAGCACCTACATCAAGTACCTTGGTACAGTTCACACCAATGCGACATCGAAAGAGGCTGAGGCAGGCATCAGGTAACTACTTGCTCAGGTGAGTGCAACCTTGTCCTTGAAGCTGTCTCGATTCCGCCTAGTTTCAGGGAAACGGGCGCAAGCGAAAGGTTCAAGGCTCTTTGGTTTACCAAGACACGTTATGGCATCGAAATAAGATCCTGTGCGATGGACATCCTGCAGATCTGCTCGTGAACCCTGGGGCCGTTCCTAGGACCATGGCTGTTTCTCAGAGTACCTACGAGCTGCCTGTAAGCCCGGTCCTCGAGCATGTCCATCTGATGATACAGGTAGGCATACTCGCAAAAGTAATTTGCATTGTCCTTTCTGGGTGCCAACTGTGCTTGTGGGGGAGAATCGCCAATGCCAGCGCATGCCCGTGCAGTGAAGTTGCAGTTTCGTCCGGTGGCTTCCCATCTTTCACTGCGACACCTGTAACAACATCAGGGCCGGGACTGCAGCAAACGACTCGAATAGGCGTTGAGCCGGACAAAGAGTGACGAGGAGCACGGTAGAACGCAAGGATACGTATGGCATTCAAAATTCGTCCAATGGACACTCGGAGCCGTGAAAATCCTGCTGGCTATGCCTGCAAAGGCAACGCTTGCAAAACAAAGCCCGGTGTATGACAAAGCGATTCGTCACCATTCACAGAGACGAGCGTGAAGAAGCAGCGCCTAAGGCTAGGAGAAGCCAAGAGAGAGGAAGAGGGGAAGGGACCCTTGAAAAAAGAACCTTAACATTCGGACCCCCCACCAACAACATACTATGCAAAATTCCGACATCGTCTCTCGTGATAGGGATTCCTCTGTAATACTGGGCTCAAGTCCAGCCAGACCACGACCTCCAAACCATCCGCACCTAGTCCAGGCCCGTCGGCAGCTTCAGCATAGCCATCAGACATGCTTAGAGCATTACAAGCTTTCACAGGGCTTCGGGTCTAGAGTCTAGGACAAATGCTGGAACGATGTTCGCGACACCTCCAGTGCTAGGGGCTGTGCTGCAGCAGCTCGACTTGCATACAGGACCACACATGTGGTAAGTCGCACTTGACGTGAAGTTACGGCGCCTGTCATCACCTCGTCTTCTTGTAACACAACGGACATGTTGTAACGGCGCCCGACATGCCATCAAGTAAGGTGAGTTCGTGCCCCAGCACTCCACCGAAAGTGCACGTGACCCCACTGGCCAACGACAGTCTGCATCTGCAGATCTTCTTTTTCACCAGTGCATCTTCTGCACGATACAGGCAGCTACCAGAACTCGGCAGAACTGCAGATCTTGCCGAGTCTGCAACCTGCGAGACTTGAGGCTTTTGGCATCGCATCCACTGGGCTCACCGGGGCCGATCAGATGCCAGACGCAGAGCGCAGCTCCGAAGCGGCCCGGGGCCCTGGTCGGGACCGAGATGGGACGCGGGCGGACGACGCGGACGCGGAGGGACTCTGAGGAAAGCAGGAAAGCTCAAGGCCGCCAGGGCGCCAGGGCACGGCTGCGGGGCTTCGCGCAGTTCCGGATCGTAAGTGCCAAGCGCTGGTCTGGACCCTGTCCTACTGATTTCGTGGAACTCGCCAAACACGAGCCGTCCCCCTGCAAAGGAACGTCGCAAGCAGCATGCAGCGAACCCCGGAAATTCCCATGTTCATGTGGGCTGCAAGGCCTCTCTGGATATTGAATCTCCACCTCGGCATTCTGACTTGCAATTTGCTGCGAGTGTCCGAAGGTGATTCCAGGTGCAAAGCTAGTTCAGCTGCGTGGTGAAGGTCGAAAGGTATGTACAGCGGCCGTGGCAACTCTGGCGGTGGCCTGGCGAAGGACTCTTTGCACAGTCCGGAGGCTAAGGACTCGAGATGTCAGCCCGAGCCTCGGATCGTAGCGCAGGATAACACCTCCATCTCTCGTGTAACCTGGGCGCTGTGTAGGCACGGGTCTGCCCGTCATGCGGAAACCAATGTGGCGTACCGAAGGCTCGGGGCGAATCTTGAGACTCGTTGCCGACTGACGGCCCGGATTCCTTCGCTCGAGGTGGTGGCAAACTCTTTCTGAATCCACGGTCTGCTGTCGGCGGCAGACGGTGATGCCTGCGATTGGCCGCGTCTCCGGACAATGGCACGAACCTCACACCGGCCAGGTTCAGATCAGAGTCTTTCTAGAGCTTGGATTGGACGCCCTCACGAGTTCTAAGCAGCAGACATCAACGCGGCAAAGCGGGCAGGTCACGTTCCGTGACAGCCACGATCGAACACAATCTTCGTGGAAAGTGTGGCGTGCAGCACAAGGGAGTTGCAAACCATCCTGCACGCACTCGGGCGGGTGTGTGTGTGTGTGTGCTTAGCAACACTAGCCGATCTCTCGTCAGCTTGAGAACTACGAACCATGAAAGCAGGCGTGCCTCGTCAGACGAGAGGGATGACAAACATATCGCACATTCGGCTGCTTCAGTGCCTCGCCACCGGACAAGCTTTCTAAAGTCAGCATCGTTGAAGCGCTCCACCGACGGGACTGCAGATTCCTTCAGGCGTTCCAACTGGTACCACTCTCCGTCTGGCATGACATTCAATCTTCGGGCTCCTCGTCTAAACTGGCGCCGAGACCAGCTTCCAGTTCAGACCGGCGCGCGTCGAGGCGATGGAAATAATCCTCCAGATCGTCTAGCACCTGAAAGCGCGACCAAATTGCAGCTGGATAGTGCCAGGCTGGATTACTAAGAAACTGAATAATGCAAGGAAGCATTGGCTGGAGGTGCAGGAGGATGATCAGATTGCCCCGGGAGTCGTGATGCCGCGATTGGCTCGTCGGCTTCCTTATTGAGCCCGTTCGCCGATACTGCAACAAAACGAACCAGCAATTCTGAAGGGGCATTACCATGAAAAGCTTGCAGCCAAGGCTCGCTATCCGAAGTGTCTATGTGGTCAAATCGGGAATAGTCAATCTGCATGTGTCTACTGGTCTACTGAGTCTACTGCTTTCGGCGAAGCTAGCCTTCGTGGGTGGGGCAGGCCCTGGGCGGCCTCTGCCTGTGCTGCGGGCGAGGGTGACTTGGCTTCTGCACGATGGAGTAGACAGGCCCGGGGACAAAAAACATTCACGGCAGAGAATCAACGGCCGCCTAATTTAAGGGCATAACAAGAACTGCCTTGTTGAGCCTTACGCTCCAAGCCAGCAAGAAGTAGTGAGAGTCAAGTGACTCAAGCATTCGCTCATAATTAGATCTCCAAATCGGCGAACCACACGGCTCTAGCATTCCATGTCTTGCTTGGGACAAGATCTTCAGCAATCCCTTCTTGTCTGCACTGCGACCTCGTGGTTGTGACGTATGCTCGGTTCGAGTGAGAAATACCGTGCGCTTTGGGATAGCTCGGATAGTCTGTCATGATACCTTCCCACACGTTCGTTGCTGTGGATTTGGCCCGGGTGCAGCGACCAAACTCTGGCAAGCAATGACGACTTAGTTGCCCAGTTCTCGTGGCTGCAAAGATCACCCGACCGAGACCCTAACAGCCTTCGCACCCTTTTTCCCTGAACCCAGGTTCAAGGACGTCCTCATCGCGCGTGTCTAGCCATCCGTGGCGACGGGCACCGGTACCTTCGCAGCTTCGCACTGTCTGGGTCTGGGCTGTTTCCAAAAGGCGGTCGAGATGAACATCAGCAGCCCGAACCGGTCCGCAAACGCCAGTCACAGACATAACGGTAATTGCGCTGCTTCGCGGAGGTAGCAGACATTGGTCTCTTCACACCATCACCGCGACATCGATCCGACACGGAGGCGCGTGGAACAGTCGAGTTTAGCGACTCGAAGGAAATCTCGGATCACCTCTGCGGACTTGGCCAGAGAAGTCTTCGTAGTCTATCTTCGCTTCGAAAGAAAATCAGTTCCTCCTCCAACTCCGAACTGAGCGCGTCGCTTGCTGTGGTGCAGTTCTCACATCGGGTTTTCCCTCCAGACCCAACGAAGTCGATGTAGTGGTTCGCTCGAAGCAGCTCTGCATCTACGGCAACGAGACGGGCACCTGGACGCGGAACAGCGAAGTGGGGACCTACTTCAAGGACGTTGTCGGGATTAAGCACCAGTGTGTGCGATATCATATCCTTGGCAGGCCCTCTCATTCGATAGGACAGCAGTGTCTCACCCTTTGGATGGTCTCCCTGCATATACTGCACTTCTGACAGTTGTAAGGCAGCGACATCGTGTCGATCCGGCTCTAGGCTTTCGAAAACAGTCTTTACAGCAATCGCACGCTGCGAGCTGTTTGCAGCCCACAGGTAGGTATCGAGGCCGGGAAGCATCGCAATCCAGTCGACCTGGCCTTTCAGCAGCATTGCACAGTGCGAGTTCGACTGGATCGCAAGCAAATTCTTGTTGTGCTTTCCCAGTGTGCTCGACACTTCGGGCATTGCGCTCTCGGACCAACGCGGGAAGTAAGTCACCTGCGGGTCACGCATTAAGTTTGGCTCAACTTCTCCGAAGGAGCCGTCGTCGTCGTAGAGGACAAAACGGTCCACGCCTGCCAGTCGGTGAAAGTTGAGCCAATCCCGAATCAGGAACGGGAAGCCAGAATCAGACAACAGGCCACCAAGATCGTAGTGGATGCGTAGGCACACCGCCAGCATCATGCGTTTCTTGTCGTAAACGCCGTCGCCGTCGCTGCCAGTGCAAATTGGCACGGGAAGCTCCACACCGTGTGTTTCGGAGAATAGCCTTAGCATGAAGGGCTCCGCAGGCCGAAGCCGCAGGACAGCAGGCACTGGGCAAAGCAATGTTAAAGCAAAGCCCATGATCGAGATAGGGACAGCCGGGACATCCCACACAAGGTCATCGCCAGCGAAACTACACTGCCAGGGGTACAGTGCCACATGCGGCTGAGACAACAGGTGGCCAGCCTTTTCGTGCACACCTGGGAAGCAGTCATCCATACTGGAGGTAAAAACCACCACCTCCACCTCTGCTTCGCTGTCTGTGAGGCGATGTCCTGGGACCACGAGGGCCTGGCCTAGAACGTGGAAAAGCAGGTCGCCGTGTCTCCCACGGGTCACCTCCCCCTTCCCAGCACAAGAGTGCTCTGATGCCTGCACCGTGTCCTGCACAGCCTGCACGCCCGTCTCTTGCTTGGATGCTTGGTGATCTTCCAAATCCAGACTGCAGAGCCAAGAGAACCACGAGAAGTCGAGGTCTGCAAACAGCCGTGCTACTTCAGCTGGTGGATCTGCCTCGGCCGACTGGCACCAAGGGCTGGTGACCTTGAACTTGACACCGAAGTCCTCGGCAATCTCCTGCTGC